TTCTTTTCCATCCATTAAATTGAAATTATTTAAATAGTAGCGTATTTTTATTAATATTTTATTTTATTTTTTGTTAGTAAGTCACGCGGAATTTTCAAACGAAGGTTAGATGTAGGTCAATGAAATTGCCGTACTTTTTTTTTTAAATAAATCTTATGTAATATTTTCAGTTTCAACAACGTCATTTAGTTTATAAGCCTCGTAAAAATTTATATACATTTTTTTTACCTCGCAAAATGCATTAACTTACTGTATCTGCTAGTATTTGTTTGCAAACAAAAAGTGCAAAAAGTGCACAAGCGTTAAGGTGTCTGCGATTTCTATCAACGAAGGCAAAGTGCAAGTCCACTTTGAAAAAAAAAAAAATAAGCCATCAGCTTAACAAACACTCAATAACCAGCTCACACCTATGCCAATAAATAGCAAAGAGTAAACATAGAAAAATAATAAATTAACAAATAAGTACATTTGTGTGCTGTCCTTTGGTATTGTTAGTTGGGGGGCTTGTTCGCCGACGAACATATGATTTATAGAAAAAGAAAAATAGCAGCGATTGTTTTCTAGCATTACCATGATTTTTTTGTTATTTTTACCACACATAAATTAATTTTAAAGAAAACACAAATAAACAAACAAGTTTTTTTTTGTTGAACGCGCAAATTGTTGGCTGTTTTCTATCTTTCTTTTTTTGGTTTCTGCGTTGGTGGTGAGCTCATTCTTGTTATTGTTTTTATTCATCCATTTCATGCTATATTTTATTCGTTTTGTTATTATGTTACTTATTTCCTTTTGGCGGACTGACTCGGCCTCCGAGCGCATTATCAGTAGTCGTCCTAAACTTGACTACGTCAAACGCCGGTAGACTGTGAGGACGTACATACTCTCTCTCTCTCATGCTCGCACTCTCGTTCAGTGATTTAATTTCTTCGTGGATATTCTCGCACTAGTTTGCCGCACAATAAACTTGATTATTTTATGATGCAACGGTTTTGGTGGTTTATCGTTGTTTTGTTTTGGAAAATACGAGGGTTGGTCAGAAGAATGTGTTAAAAAAATACATTATTTTTCTTACGCGCAGATATTTAACAAACTTTTATTTCACATACACCAAGAACATATATTGTTGTACTAAGCTAATGTGTGAGAAATTGCATTGTCATGGTAGAGAATGGTTCGTCTGCTGCGATTGGTTTCCATTATTTTTTCAAACACTTCTGCCAAACAAATGCTGGTGCACCGTTCAGAATAGACGGTTGTACGTTGCTCTGGTTTAACGGTGGCGACATGTTCAGTTATTGCGAAAAACAGGCGATAATTTGCTCCGAGGTGCTTCGTGGGCTAAGAACTTTTGTTGGATTTGACTGCTATTGAATGACCCTTAATATTTTTGTTGGACAAATGTTCCTGCAATATTGGATTTGGACGACCTTCACGAAATTTGTCTTATAGTGAAGTGCGCCTACGACTGAATTCGAAAAACCTATTAGTTTAATCCACGTTGAAAGTCATCGAAAATTATCGTTCTAAAATGTTTACGATTTAATTCCATTTTTTGGCCAAGAAGAAAGTTTTGAGTAACTGTAAAAAAACAAATAGCACTTACCATTAAAAATGTCAAACTTTGTGACGATTTTGTCAGATTTGGCATATCCACATTAGCATTGACATATCTCAACACTTATCTAAGTAGCAACCCTCGTATCTCTCTCCAACCCCTCTCTCTCCTGCCTTTCGTCTACAAGTCTGCGCTCTCAATAGAGATCAAATAAGTCAGCACACAATTACATCAACTAAATTTTGCTGACAATTTTTTGGCCACGTTTTCCCCATATTGTACCACTGTGCCCGATGTCTTCATTATCTAATTACGTGTGGAACTTAATTGATTTCGTGCTGCGTAGGATAGTACATTTTACGAGTAGCAAGTAGAAAGTGAATATCTCATGCAGTTGCTGTACAACAGAAACCCTTGGTATTGAATTTTGTCAACAACTCTTATCCGTTAAAGTTCAAAAAACGATTTTTCTGTTTCTATGTGGAACTCTAAGAGTACTTACATAATTTTGCCGGCCACTTGACTTACTTTATTTCAAGTATTTGTTGCTATCATAACAGCGTGGACCATAAATAAAAAAAAGTGTTTTTTATAACTCGCATATCAAAGAGTATATCATTGAGTTTTATTGCATGGAAAAAATAAGTAAATATGTACATACACACATAGTCACATATGTTTGTGGGCTTGTATGCTTTCAAGCAATTAAAGTGACTTGTTTATCATGGCACACAAATGCTATCCACAAACATATGTCTTTATTTACATTCACACAAACTTAGTATTGTTTTATAATTTCTTTTCATTACTCATACGTTTTATAAGCTTGTTTTTTTTTTATGCATAATATGTAAATCTTGTTTTGCTGAATTTTTAATTTTTTTCATAATTTTATTTTTTTTTTGGCGGCTGCCGTAACCGGTTGTTGACTTCATTGTTGACTTGAAAGAAATACTAATGAATCGCGGTTCAAAGTCCATACGCCAAAAAAGGTTGCTAAAAAGTGTGTGCCTTAAAATACAATTATTTTCGCTTAAAACTGATTTGGAGGTTCTTGGAAGCCGCATAGGCCTCAAAACATATGTATGTTCTTTTGTATGTATATAATGTCATATCTGATTCGTTGTTGTACTCGCACAATTGAAAACAAAACAAGTATAATAAAAGTAACTATATAATACCGGTTGTTTTTGTTAATATTCGCATTGTTTTACATGCTAAAATGTTTTGTTGATTTTGTATTAAAATATGGGTTATATTTTAGCAAACCCCATTTAAATCCAAGAATGAAACTATGCAAATTAAATTAAGAAAAATCTGCAAAGTTTCAGCAATATCGCAAACTTTTGAATAAGAATTAAAAAAAAAAAAAATCAGGTATGCAGCTTTATAGCCCATAAAATTTTAGTATAATAATGTGCAAAATTCAAATGTCTGAAAATTCGCGATGATTTTTAAGATTTTTTTTGAATTATTTATGTGTGAGAAAAAAATGCGTAGAACAGTCAGCAAAAAAATTCTCAAAAATCAACGCGAATTTTTAGACATTTGAAATTTGCACATTATTATACTAAAATTTCATGGGCTATAAAACTGCATAACTTTTAAAGTTTTTTAGAAGTTCTTATTAAAAACTGATATATTTTGCATATTTTTCTAAATTTTCGGACACAGTTTAGTTCTTGGATTTAAATGAGGTTTGCTAAAATATAAGCCATATTTTAATACAAAATTAACAAAAAATTTTTGGAATGCGAAAATTTAGAAAAAAAAAAAAAAAAAAAACGAGAACGAGAGCAGATATCGGAATAAATGTAACGTTATTTGAAAAGCCTTTGAGATGGAGAATTGAGTAAAAATTGTCTTGTGGAATAAAAAAATTATCTTGACGTTTGAAATGGCCATTAAAAATTTTAGCTTTTGATTTTTTTCTTGTTTTTGAACGGAAAATAGTATGCAATGAGCTTTTTATCCGACTTAAAAAAAGGAGGAGATTATCAATTCGTCGGAATATTTTATTTATTTTTTATGCATGTCACCGCATTACTTTCAACCACGTTAACCGATCTCTATAATTCTTTTTTTTAAATGAAAGGTGGTCCCATGCTAATGGTTTAGGTCCGATCTTTTTGTATGGTTTTGTTTTTTTTTTTGCTTAAAAATTACTTGTTAAAAAGTTTTAAACACAAGGCTTTTGCTGTTCTTGTGTCAAGGAATCCATTTCCATGGCCGCAAGTACCGAACACATTTTAATTTTTTTTTAAGAAAAATAATCCAAAATTTTCTTTTCATTATAGGCTTTGGGGTCAAGGTTATTTTTAATGCAATCAGGCGTTTAAAATGACCTTCAAGTTATTTTACTGGCAAACATATACAGTGAGCCTCAAAAATAAGTATGTGCTGACGTTCTGAGGATTTTATTTATTTATATTTTCCATATCAATTTTATTTATTTATTTTTTTTTTTTATAAAAATATTAATAGTAAAAACCGCAAGAATAAATTTTTTGAATTTCATCCAGACTTCGGAAAAATGCAAGAAATTTTCACCGACAAATTTTGAGTAAGCGGCTAGTTAGCCCATTAAATTTTGGTATAATAAAGTGCAAGTTTGAAGTCGCTAAAAATTACAGTTAATTTTTGAGATTTTTTGTGGCGAGGGTGTTGCGCATTTTCTTCCATACAACACAATTTTTTTTCGGCATAAAAAATCTGAAAAATCAACGGCAAATTTCAATGGGTTACAAAAGTGCTTACTCAAAAATTTTCCATGAAATCGAATTGAAAAACTGAAATTTCTTACATTTTTGCGAGTTCTGTATAAAATTAAAAAAATTGATTCTTGGTATGGAAAATATAAAATCGTGAACACGTCAGGATATATTTGTTTTTGACGCTCACTGTATGCATCTTTACTTAGAAGACATTAGTGGTATTCACCAAAGTGAGCAAGTGGCCGGCAGTCTGGCAAACAAGTTGCTTGAGCTCATCTGCTCTTTCGCTAGAGCGCCAGGCCACTTGCTCGATTTGGTGAATACCACTATTGTAATTATCGGCAAAATATACGAAGTTAAAACTGCAGCTCTTCGGTTCTTTCGCAAATCTTCGAGTCATCAGGTAGATTGTAGTCTATGATCTCATCATTGCTTGCATAGAAATCGCATAGAAATCCTGCAACATAAATTTCAAATTCAAGTTATGTAAGTGGCCCGCTACACAGATATTCCTTTCTCTTATCTTAATCAAGCGTCCCATGCCTCTTGCGCCTTCGAGGGCTTGAGGCGTCTACCCTCCTTTTACCATGAGATGGGGCTGGTCTAAGTACGCATTGAGTAGGATTAAGAAAAAAATATCTTAGTTATCACATTTAATAAAATTATTAATTACTTAAGCTATTAATCTACATATTTATGTACATTACAAAATGAATTCAATTTTTTTACAGGCCAAAATGCATGCGAGAAAAAATCCTACATATTCCTGCGTAAAGAACTGCCCGTACGTTTGGCGAATATCATGAAGGAAATCGCACTGCTGCCCGATAATTTGCTGAATACACGTTCCGTTAGCCAGGTGAGCTCCTGGTATGTGCAAAGTTTCGAGGAGGTACTCGAATTCGAAAAGGCCGATCCGACACATAGCAATTTAGAAAAGTAAGTACATACTGCAACTAGTTAAGAAATGTGTAACATGTTTTGCACATACATACATACATATGTACTTTTTTTTTTTTTGTTTTGTGTGTGCTAATTTACCTTAACGCGCTAAGTGCAGGAGGCAGTGAAACTTTGTATGTGCCGATTTGCCCCCAAAGTCACAGTAAACTGCAAGGTTTTTAGATTTTAGCAAGTTTGATGACTAACTCATATACATACATACGTACATACGTACATTAGACCGTACTACCCCACAAGCCAATAAAAAAAATACGCCGTACATCCCTGAGATGAAATTTGTTTTGCAAGACAATTTCGAAAAAATTTTCATTTTTTTACCGAACCTAGGGGCCGCTATTTTATATTTTGCGGTGGCGCCTACATTCGAAAATATATATATCCGTATATATTTTAAATAGTTCTATTGGAATAATCGAAATACTTCCTTAGTAAAAGTTTTGTGAGTTTTTTTTGTCGAAATTTCCTTTAAAAATTCTTTACGTTTTTTCTGGTACGGTTTAATGTACATACATATCTGCATACATAGATATGTATGAAGAGTTCGAAAAGCTTGTATTGAGTACGCAATGCTAAATTAATTATAGAGAGCGTATTAAATCTTTTATAGGCCTTTGTATAGCTTTCACGAGCGTTAATTATTTATTAATGAGCGTATTTGTGATATACACCCCGTGACAAAATTATAAGCGCACTACATATGGACAAGTTTTAATAATATATTTTTTTGTTATCACAGTTTAGTTATTGCTTTATCAAAATTTAGTTTTTCTTCAACAAAAACCGTATAAATGTGCAGAGTATTATAAAAACAAATCAATACTAGTGTAATAAGGTGGCTTACCGTTGGTTTTTGTGAGACTGTTGCTCATTTTCTTCCATATAAAAAATCGTCGAGCGTACTTTGCTTGGAAGAATATGCACAACACCGCCAGCAAACAAGCTGGCTACAAAACTGCATCCTCAAAATCTTTCTACGAAATCAAATTAAAACGCTCGAAATTTTTACCAAACGTTGGATTTATGCGTTGGATTTTTGTTAATGAATACACTAAAAACTAAAATAATTAGAAAACAAGCAAATTTTTAAAAGTTGTCACCTTGTGCTGCGCTTATAATTTTGAGACGTAATGTATGTACTTAATACATTTGCGCATGCATTTAGCTATGCAAATTGAAAAAAAAAAAAAATATATTGCTTCATTAAATCCATTAACTATTCTATTTTAGGTTCTGCAGCACTTTGGTACACATACGCAATCGTCATAGCGATGTGGTGCAAACCATGGCGCAGGGTGTCATCGAAATGAAAGAGCATCAAGGCAGCAACGTCGATTCTGGCATGGAATCATCAATACAATACTTTCTCGATCGTTTGTATATGTCACGCATCAGTATACGCATGTTAATCAATCAGCATAGTAAGTGCATTAGTGGCAAATTAGCTCCTTAACACTGGATATAAATTTCATTAATATTTTTTTTTTTTATACCCACAGCTATACTATTTGGCCAGTTTACAAATGACCAGGGTCGTCATATCGGTTGTTTAGATCCTGCCTGCCAGATCTCTTCAGTAGTGAAGGATGCCTATGAAAATGCACGTTTCCTCTGCGATCAATACTATCTGATTAGTCCGGAGCTGGAAATAACGGAACATAATCAGCACGGAAAAGCACTTAATCCCATACGTACTGTTTATGTGCCCTCGCATTTATACCATATGCTTTTCGAGTTATTCAAGAATTCGATGCGTGCCGTTGTTGAGAATAATGATCAAGATAAATGTGAAAGGCTCCCGCCTATTAAGGTGCTGATAGCGGAGGGCAAAGAGGATATATGCGTAAAGGTATATAGCATATTGATATTTTGCCCACATACACATTTTTTTGAATGATTTTGTTCACTATTTTAGATCTCTGACCAAGGTGGCGGCATTCCACGCTCCCAAACCGATCAGCTGTTCAAGTATATGTACAGCACAGCACCACAACCTACAAAATCTGATCTCCATACAGTTCCGTTGGCCGGCTACGGTTATGGTTTGCCCATTTCACGTTTATATGCGCGTTACTTCCACGGTGATATCGTGTTGTTATCGTGTGAGGGTTACGGAACCGATGCAATTATTTACATGAAGGTAAAAATTATAATTAAAAGCAATTTTAGAAAGTAAAAAATCGCATGGCGAACGTAAAACTATTTTTGCATGCTCAAAATTACATAAATTGTAGAAATAGTAATATTTTTTGATAAATGCATTTCGTGCATTAGATATTATTTTATAAAGTTAAATTGCTTAGCAACTGTTACTCAGGTTTATTAAAAATTGTACTACCTTTCAATCCAATCACTGAAAACGACCGTTGAGAACAAGTTAGGTTGAGCTATCAGATTTTTCCTTAAAGAAATGCTTGTAAACCGTCGTTCCATATTTTTCCCAACCAAACCTTGCGAATACGCTGTACGTTCGACGTCAGTGAGATCTATGAAGCCGGGAGAACCCAGATTTATTTTAAAGTGGGCACCTTCACCGATCTTACACTGCAGAGAATTTCTAAAATACCGCCGCGAAATCAGAGGTCACCTTATTCACCACCGGGATGAGGAAAGTAGGGCTCGAGCGAAACATCTATATCAATGCCATACAAATTCCCATCATAAACCACCAAAAAAAGAAATGGTGTCACGTTCAGCAGCCTACTTTCGTCTTCGACACTAGTTACTACGAATCGCGTGCCATTAGAACTTTAGAAATTGACGCCACCACGGTGTTGACCATGAGCAACAGCAACACCCAGTGGAAGTACCTACATATTTGTTGGTTACCGGTACAAGTTGAATTCATTGAGTGTCGCAAACAAGCAACTGCTCAGCGTGTTTTTTTTTTTAGGTTAGGTTTAGTTAGGCTGATCTATTGATGGGAATCAGACTCAGGGCACTTTGTGATACCGCACCCGGTTTTCAGTTAAGACTTTCCCCTAACAACCACTTAGTACTCAGTAAACATGTTGATAAGTTACCAAATCTGTTGATTTGAGGTCATCCAGAACATTAAAGAAATACATATCTTGAAATGCTTGTTGTTGTTGTAGCAGCATACAAATTCCCCAAAGACTTTTTGGGGAGTGTTGCTGGAGTGACAGTCCTTGGCCAGATATAAATCTGGGTCGTTCCGGCTAAGTAGAAACGACTGTCTTGGGAACGCTTGAAATGCTTGTCTTTCGTTTTGCTGGGATGTTTTCCTCCTCATCCTCTCTAAATAGCTTCTACCGTATAAAGTCTTTGCAAGGCAGCCATTCTAATTGCGTCTTATTAGATAAATTCTAGTGACTTAACGAGTGTTCCGCTTATCTGACAAGTGGGTTCCAAACCCACATCTTTGATTGATAATTTCTATCAGTTATAATTTATTTACAACTTATATGCTCTATTTTTTATGTAGGCGCTTTAGTACAACCTAGATTTAAAAATATAAAGCATTACTATTACACATATTTTTATGGTCCTTAAAATAAATCAATCGTTAATACCACGGCTACAGATGTCACATATAAATTTTGGTCCCGATTGGAGACGGTTAAGGCGTGTCGCACAGAGGGCAGTACTGATTCCTCAATGGACACTAAAAAAATTAAAATTATTTTTTTTTTCATCTAATAACCAAAATCGATACTATCACAGTCGAAGGTATCACGTATATATTTTGGATTCGATTGGAGTCGATTAACACGTCTTCATAGGGTAATCTAAACTTTGACCCCTGTATGTGATATTTTCGACTATGGCAGTATCGATTTCGGGAATTTCCATAGAGGAATCTGAACTTTGCCCCCTGTGCGACTCGCCTTAACCTTCTCCAATTGGAACCAAAATTTATATGTGATATCTTCGACTATAATAGCACAGACGTAGGGGTTCAGGCTTAAGAAATCTGATGTGAAAATTTATTTCCTACATTTAAGGACCACCCTAATGTGCACACCTATATATACATATAAATGGTATCCCTCACCTAATCTCTCTCTACTTTTCATTTTTCAGGCAATTTCGGATGAAGCCAACGAACTGTTGCCGATTTTCAACAAAACGAGCTCCAAATTTTATCGCGCCACAGTACCAACTGGCGATTGGTCGAATCAGGTAAAACATCCAAAAAAGAAACCGAATGAATTGGATGCACTTGCTGCGTAATGAATTAATTTGTGATATGTGGAGTGTATAAGAAACAACCACTTACTCATCCCCCAAAACATTTTTTGCTTTGTTTAAATAAGCTGTGTTTCCTTTATTTGCAAGAGAGAATATCCGTATTCGAGCTGCTCCCAATCTAAACAAAAGTATATGAAACATACAATATTTTTAGTGCATTGGGGACTAAAGTGCAGAAGTTGATAAATATGAAATTTGTGTAATTTTTAAAATTATTGACATACATTTTTTGTTGCATATACTGCATACACATAGCTCTACAAAAATACAAACTATACAAAATACTGATGCGTTGCATTAAAATACTACAATACAAACATACATATAACACAGTTCGAAAATTATAAGTAAAATGTGTCTTTAATTAACAATTATCGTTTATGTTTAATTACTAGTTGCATTTGCATGTACTAAGCGTTTGTAGAAAGCCTACATTGAAATGTGAGTAAATAAATGTAAATGTAAAATTTTGTTAAATACATTTGTAAGTAATAGACGTGCCTAGTTGTCTGCATCGGTTTTTTCTACTATTTATAAGCATGGCTCAGACTGTTAAAACGGAAAAGAATTTAAATTAGGCTTACATTCCAACATTTTTTTTAAATTTAAAGCAAAAACGTATAGGCTGTTAACATAAAAACTGACGCTATAAGGGCAACTTTAAAGCTTCTTAATTATGCAATTAGTTTCTTTAATTTCAATCGCTGAGCTTGGAATTACGCTTAAGGCAAGGACAAATGCATACATACTACATTTACATATACACACATCTTTGCCAACTGAACGGATGATTGAGCATTTAAAGCCAGACATTCAGAGGTTCATTATCAGCGCAGACATGACGTGGCATTCTCATGTTCAAAACATACTAAATTGACGATGCTTCTATTTCGAGTCGATATACTTTATGGATGTGGAGCGTTTATACATATGAACATACAATACTAGTATGTACATATACATATGCACTAATAATTGTAGTGCTGATGCTATTGAAATTAAATCGCACAACAATTGTAGATTAAATATGTAGTGTTCTTAAGTATGTATGTATGTTTTTGTACGCATATTCACAGTAATGAAAAGCTTAAAAAATACTTTAGTACTTCGCTTATATGCATTTTCCAAATCGTAGCTAATGTAAGTTTTTGGCATATTTTTGAGTCACAAGCGTTAAACTATAAGCATAAAAAAAGAAATTTAATGTAAATTTACAAATGAAAATTATTCCAATAAGCCAAAAATTGTTTACTTTTTAATTAAATATTCTACAACTAATTAAGAATCCTTTTTTGAATGTTTATTTAAGCGAAATTTACTTTTTTTTTGTTATTTACACTTTTACTATTTATTTACCAAATACACACAAGCATGCATACGTACGTAGAAGTATCTATTAACAGATGTAAGTGATTGATAAAAAATAAGAATAAAATAAAATACAAATTCGAAATTATTTACTGTTTATTTCTTTTAAGTTGTTATGTACATATGTAAGTTGTTTTGTGCTGTATATTATATTTGTGACGCTTTTTTCGATTTATTTTCAATCGCAGGTAATCTTATTTCGGTACCATTTGTTGCTCTTTCTCAAATTCCTCCTTCATTTAGCGTTTTTTTTTCATTTCCCTTTATCGCTTGTGCTTTGTGTAAAATTCAGCTTGAAAAAATTTATACTTTTATTCACACATTTTTTTTTATATTATATATTTCAGAATTTTTCCAACCGTTGGCGTTATATATATAGTTTCTTCAAATCCAAAACTGATTAGCGTATGTTTTTAATCCAGAGAAATGCTTGATTCATTTAAATTGGTTTTTATTTTTGGTAAAAGGAATTTTAAAACATTCACACACTCATTTCATTTCGATTACATGCTTTTTTAACTATAGAAATGCAAATTTTTTTATTTAATTTATCTGTGATAAGATGTAAGATGGCAAAAAAGTGTTTTAATATAATATAGCATTGAAGCTCAGCTTTGATTGACGTGAACATTTTTGCGAGAATTTGGTTAAATCAAATTAAAAAAGGATCTACAATCTACATCTAATGCCTAAAGTATCATACTAAGGAAAAATTTTTTGCGCTCCATTACTTAGTAAAATATGTAAGATATAGGGGTGGTCCTTAAAATATCATCATCTAAATTTTGAATGGGGCACGCATACAATTTTGTTGTACGTCAAAATGAGGACATCCACGAAACTTTCGAAATTAAACACAATTGTTTAGGGACATCTATTAATAATAATAATAATAATAATAGATTGGCGCTTACACATATGTTAGTGTTTGGCCGAGCTTCTCCTCCGATTTGTGGCGTGCCCCTTGATGTTGGCACACAAAGCGGAGGGACCTACAGTTTTATGCCGACTCCGAACGGCGATTGTATGTTTATGAGAAGCTATTTTTCATGGCAGAAATACACTGCCATTGCCTGCCGAGGGACGACCGCTGTTAAGAAAAAAGCTTTTTTCTATATTTTTCCGATGTTGCTTTGACCAGGGTTTGAACCCAGGTGCTGCGGAGTGGAAGCGCGCACTGCTTACCACTACACCACAGCGGCCGATCAGGGACATCTCGTTCCCGTGACAGTCGGGTCTACGTAACCGGAACGACCCAGATTTATATCTGGCCAAGGACTGTCACTCCAGCAACACTCCCCAAAAAGTCTTTGGGGAATTTGTATGCTGCTACAACAACAACAACAACATCAGGGACATCTATTCGCGTTTGAAAAAATGTAATCGTTGAAAAAAAAACACGAAAATTAAAAAAAAAGTTGACTGATAAAAATTTCCTCGAACTTTAGCGATTTAAAAAGATACATTTTTTTCAAACCCTGGTAGCGACACCTAAATTTTTCGTTCCCACGACAGTCGGGTCTACGTAACCGGAACGACCCAGATTTATATCCGACCAAGGACTGTCACTCCAGCAACACTCCCCAAAAACTCTTTGGGGAATTTGTATGCTGCTCCAACAACAACAACACCTAAATTTTTTGTATTAATTTTAAAATTTCCGTGAATGTCTTTATTTTGTTCTTATACAAAAATAAAAGTGGTGCGCCATGATGTTTATTTTAAGTATGTATATCCAATCGTTTTCAATATGGTCTTAATTGGTATAAGAACAATTTCTCTCACAAATCCACAAATCGGAGGAGAAGCTCGGCCAAACACCAACATACATATGTGTAAGCGCCAATCTATTTTTATTATCAAAAACCAAATTAAAACAAAAAATTGTAATCCTCTTTTTATCATTGGGACATCCTAAAGAAGGACTTACAAACTTAGTTTTGCATCAGTTAAATGGTTAAAAACTTAGAGTTTTGATCAAAAAGAACTAACAATCCGTAAAGAAAGGTAATGTGGTTGAGCATAATCCCCTAAAACTAAGTACATATATTCACACTAGAGCGTAAATTACTTAAATTTAATGAAAATTCGTATTCTTCTTTGGCGCCGTAAACGACTAACCGAGTTTGCCCGAGTCCACGCACGGACGTCGTTTCTCGTCTGTGCCAACTTACTCGCAATTGGAAATGCCCAGCGAAACCAAGTCCTTCTCCACTTGGTTTTTCCCAAGTCCCGTAAATCTTCCGCTGAATCTTTCTCGAATACTCCAAAAGCCGTATCACTGAATTATGCCATTGTCCATCATCTGCGCCATATATCAGTATGAGCATGATAAGCGACTTATAGGATGTAATATTTGTAAGACGCCAGTGAACTTAGAAAGGCTGTAGAATTTCAAGGCTGACCATATTATCGTTGTTAATGCTGATTTCAAGATAGGACGAAGTTCTCTACTTTCCGAAACTATTTATAATTGCCAACATTGACCTGGTTGTATGTACACTTCTCTTGAACATCAATGCCGCTGTTTTCAACAAGGGTTTCGGGTTCGCCATCCTTTAAAATACTAGCATATTTTTTTCTATTTCTATTTCTATCTCTGTTTTCTTTTTCCGAAAAAGGCGAAATGTAGTTGCCTTTCTGGATATGCTGGTACAGTTGCTCGTCTTCACATAAATACTTACTTCAGAAAGAGAGGAAGCTTTACTGGGGCCGCTCCGACATATTCGGAGGCGATGATTTTATACATACATACATGGTGGCCATTTTCTATTGAATATTCTAAGGCTAGTTGCAAACCTGATTTGCGGGACCATAGGGGTTGTGGAATCGCCGCCATATTGAAAAATGGGTAGTCCATGTTTTTTTTTTTCTAAAGATGGGAACAGCTAATTTTTGGTTAAAAATAATTTGGATTAGGAGACCTCTTGTAAAATTTACCAAAAATTTGTTTATTCAACCAGAACTGGTACTTTAAGCTTTCCTTTGGAAAATGGCGGTTAGAGGGTTAAAAATATTAAGTAGCAAACATTCTCGGAGGTTTGCCATTGTCTGCCGAAAAGCGACCGATCTTAGAAAAACCTTTGTAATTTAGATGTTGCTCGTACCAGGGATGGAACCCAAGTTCCACAATGTGGTAGTACGCATCTCTAACCACACAGCCACAGCACCGAAAAGGATTTAACCCACTGTAAAAAAGAATTGCTGTATAATGGAGCAAAATGCTCTTGGAGTTTGACTACCACGTATGAATACTAACGTTTGGGCATAAATCTGTTGTCATAAGCAATAACCACCTAAGTCGACTTAAAAAAGCATTAAGTTATATACGCTATCGTATTCTGCAACTACTATTCCATGCGTGTGTGAAATCCCCATCGCGCCAGCTAGGCTATTTAAAAAGTTTTGGACGAAAATATATTTTTGTTTCCCCATAAGGCTAAAATTACAATCCAAAACGTTTTGTCTCGAATTCAGGTTTTTCGAATTAGGCGATTATTGCTTATGACCACAGAAATTAGTTGGGACCTTGAATGGCTGAGCTAGAAAAAACATTAACCATTCATTTCATTATTGAGCAGATAATCAGTTGTCTATTATAATTTGACTGTAATAAATTTGTTTTAAGGAAAATGAAGTGAAGTTGTTTTCTTATTTAGTTTGGCCAGAAAGACAAGAACTTGCGACAGCTTAGCATCATTTTTGATTTCTTAACCAGTGGGACTATTCTGCAGCGACAATTTTCGGATCCCTAACTTTACGACGTGATTTTTATCAATATCGCTAAGTTGTGATATCGATCCGAAAATTTTCGCTAACTCGGTACATAATCTCCCACAGATATTTGTGGTTTTAAGCCTAAACTTATTTGGCCCTATCGCGAAATTCACCTGAACAAATATTCCCAAAAATTATAAAGCAAAACAAGAATAATTTTTAATTCCAATTTTTTTTTTGTTTTGCTTATTAAATTATGGGAACGATTTATTCACATGGTATTGGCGATAGGGCTGATTGCTTTTCGCTAAGGTTTTTCGATTCGAAAAACCCTAATAAGTGCACTCTATATAAGGAAGTTGAAGGGGTTGGAAAAATGCTTCATTATTTCTATAAGTTATGTTTATAAAATATCGAAATCTCGATACTACGAAAAATGCAAAATATTTCGTTATTTTCATAACAAGCCTCTAAGCTTTAACATATTCAGAACCCGTTATGTACAGGCTTTTGGGTAATAACTTCATTATATAGAGGCTTTGCTAACTGGACTCCAACCGTCAGTACATCCCGAAGGTTTTCATGCTCAACATTTCTTCGCTATATCTATGTATACAGAAATTTTGAATGGAAAATTTTTGAACGAGGTTATTTTTAGAGGTCTCAGCAAAAATTTCGTTATATTGGGTTTTTCGTTTTATCAAGGAGCGTTATGTCCAGGTTTCACTGTATAAAAAAGTTAGAGATTATAGCAAATGATGAGGTATACTAAGAAACCTGCTGCTAAATACAGGGTCATATGAAAAGTCTTATCGGATTTTTGGGATAAATTTTGAAAAAAATGTTCGGATAAGTTCATAAATCCATCGGCGCATTACTGCTCTGGCTTAATAGCAATAACTTGACCAAGTGGTTTTCAGCCAATTTTTACCATCAAGAGAGTTTTGCCGCGACAAAAACAAATATAAATCAGACGATGCAAGGTCCGAGCAATACAGTGGTTGCATTAAAACTTCCCGCAACTACTGCCGTCAATTTGTTGCGAGTCCTCAAAGATGTGTGAGTGGCCTGACATTGTCATGAAGTTGGCCATCTTTGGTTGCAATTTTGGTAAACAGACAACAGAATAGAACATTTCGCCACGTCAAAACAGTTCATAATAGATAATTTCCTTCCCAAACACTCAAAATATTTTGTTTGCCGTCAAGATAGGCTTTGAAGTCGTTTGGGGTAGAGTGGGGCTTGGGACATAAATTTCAATTACGATCCCGCCCATCCCGACGTTTTTCCGAATTCTCCCATGTCTTTCAAATTAATTTTAAATAATAAAAAATCTGGCATCATCCGGTTATTTAATTTTTTTCCTTGCTTTCGTTTTCGTGTCAATAAAACATAAAAAAGTGATAATTTCATAAAAAGTTTTTAATGAAGATTTTCTGAATTTGCGGAGTTTTATAGGGAGTGTCGGGAAAGGATTTTAATCCCGTTATGCCCGCAAAATTTTTAAAGACCTTCTCGATACCGCTCATCTCGGCTATTTTGAAATCAGTACCGTAGGTCCCGTGGGTCCCGCGGGTCCCGATATCCCGCTCCTATCTCTAATTTGGGGTGGGTCATCGGTCTTTGATCATGATCGTTTGGGTTTCACTGATGATCAATCGAATTTCTTTGCGTTAATTCATCTGGCACCCAAACATCGGGCTTCTTTGAGTACTCTGCTCTTTTTAAATGATTTCAAACTGGCATGTGGTTGATATTTTGTACCTCCACTATCTCTTGACAGCTTGTTCGCCGGTCTTGCTCAACCATTTGCACTGGCTCACCAGAGCGAGGTGCATTTCCTGGATTCAGAACTAAAACTATAGCCTGAAATGTCACCTTTCAAACGCACGTGTGCTTGACGCGATTGGATTAGTGTTGCCAGATCCAAACAAACTTTTCATAATAATTAATATGAAAAATTGGGTCGAAGTTTTCGAAATGAAACTAATTTCCAAGTCCTAAGGATAAGAATATAATATTTATGTAAAAAATCTATTAAATTATGTGCGGAGAGACTATAAAATTGTATTTTCATTTTCATCTTCATTTCACACAACTTACTTTATTATAACATATCGAGCCCTAACCGCCAAAATAACGTAAACGACATTTTTTTTTTCAAAATTTTCTTTTTGATGCAGAAATATTCCTGGAGCATCTAGATACATTTCTGCATCAAAAAGAAAATTTTTAAAAAAATGTCGCTTACGATATTTTGGCGGTTAGGGCTCGATATTTATTTTATTAATATGATTTTTAAACATATTTATTTATTTTAAATTACAGAGTTCTGATATGAATGCACGCCAGATGATTGCATCGTCCCCCAAGCGCTACAATGACATGTTATAGACCGATGCAAGGAAAGGCGCTGTAGATCAGCAGCCCGAGCAACCAGAGCAGCTTGCAGAGGAAGATGAGCCAGTAAACATTTTGATATCACAAACTCAGGAGCCAACGGTGAATGGCAAAGGCCGAGCGGAGGAATGAAAGGAAGAAGGTGGTGTGGTTGTTAGGAGTGGTTGAAAAGCAAATTACTCGTAAAAATTATAATGCGAGGCACTAAAATAATACAATATTGTTCAATTTATCAAAAGCACAGGTCATAAATTATTTCAATATACTTAGTGCTAAATAGTACATATAAGAGAACTTTGATGTTTCGAAAGCGAACAAAAAGATTTTGCAACAAGTAGTAATTAGCTAAATAAAACTACTTTAATAAAAGACTAGAAAAACAAAATGCGTTCACTAAAAGTAAAACGGAAACAAAATTTTGCAACAAGTAGTAATAAAAACAAAAACAAATAGATATGTATACGTCACTGTAACTGTAGAAATATCATAAAATTAGCAACAAGTAGTAAGAAGGAACAAATAAGAAAAAAATCATAATTACGAGAAAATTTCCATTTTCCATCAAATGATGTCGAATGGCGTTTTTTCGATGTATGTACTTAGTTAGAATTAGATTGAATGCATTTTTAAAGGAGCCATGGAGGTGTTGCTGTAGTAAGATAAAATCTTAAAAATGTAGTGAACTTCTGCATTAAAAGTTGGAGATTGTGAGAGTAAAATGTGTAATGACGAACGAAAATTCACAGATAGTTAAGACATAAGACGCTTTCTTCGTCAAATGAAGCACCTTCTATCCAAAATTGGTTCACTTTTAAATGATGAGCGGTTTTTTTTTTTAAATCCCATATGTCAGATCCAACATGGATCGGTTTTTTTTTTAGCTGACAAAATTTTGGAGAGCATGAATGAGAATTTTCAAAAATTTACCCGCCATTTTGAATATGGAAAATTCACGATCATATTCGTAATCAGCGTCTACAAAAACCATCGACAAAGAAATTTAAAGTGAATCCAATCATTTTTTTCAAAACTTTGTCCGCCATTTTGGATCTAAATTATTGGATTTCAAAAAACGCCCTACTCATCATTTAAAAGTAAATATTTTACAGCATCTTCAAGAATATATCGCTGACTCGTTTACCTGAACCTATTTTGGAGAGAAGTTGTCTTCAGTAGAAGAAGGGTAGATTTAAATTTTATTAATACATACATATGTACACACGTAACTTATTTAGCACGCATTAATTGCATCAGCAAAGAAAAAATTGGATTTTTAAGTATGTACGTAAGTAGCAAAAGTTTTTGAAAATCACTCATTGTTAGCGTCGAAACATTCCCCCTAAAAAAATCAAGCGCTTTTATCACACAGCCATAGGGTATGCACAATTTGCTTGCCGTACGAGTATTTAGGGTTCCGGAAGTTTGCAAAATAAATAAAATGTAAATAAAAATTACTACATACGGCAAATGTTAAAGTTAACAGTGTTTCTTTTAAGTATGAATGTATTTACGTACTTATTTATTTAAAAGTGACAACATTTTAAGACTAAGATTTATTTTGAAAAACGACATTAAAGCTTAGATTAGAATTTTTATATAAGTTTCTCATCAAACGATGATACATAGCAATAAATAATTGGATGCATCTACGATTAAATTGAAATTTTATTTAACTAAATAATTGATATTTTAATTAATTTAAGTAATTTATTTGCCCAATAAAATGTTGTTTTGCTTTCGTGTTCGTGTTGCCCTGGTCCGAGCAATGTTGTTGTTTTATATTGTTGGATCGATGATTACCAATGAGGTCTTTTATCCCAAAATCCCGTAAATCTTTCGCACAATCCTTTCATGCCTCAGCGCCATACACCAGCGCAGGCATGATGAGTGACTTGAAAGAGTGTGTTTTTTTTTTTTTTACGTCGAGAGAGAATTCTGCTTACACAGAGAAAAATATGACACATATAAACAAGAAGATTGTCTTTACGCAAAGTTTCTGGGCTAAGGGGTAAAATCGATGAAAAAACGATTAAAATTCCATAGAGATTTCTTCTTAATTTTATGTGTAAATTCTTCTTAATTTTAATTGTAATAAAATAGACAGTGAATTGAAGATTTTATTTTTCCATGTTTTCTCAAAAGATGTTGGTAGCCTAATGGAGCGAGTACGACTGCAGACTTTTTGGTTGTGTGTTAAAATCCTGTGGAATCGACCTTGTTTCTTATGTTTTTTATTTTATATGTTTTTTATTATTATTTTGTATACATTAGGGTGCCCATCGAAAATGTTTTGTTTTTGGAAATTTCAAGACCTTATCCCCTAATTATATTCGTTTTTATGAGAAATATTATTGCCCATTTTTATAGATTTTTTAAAGGTTATTTAGAGGTCGCGACCTGTCTATTTAGGTCAGAAAATACGGTTTTGAAGATTTTGTGAGTTTTTGAATAACTAGTTTTGAATCGATCTCAAAGATCAAATATGATCTGAGAAGAGGATATATAGGTCTTTAAAATGGTATATAATAATCTATTTCCACAGTTGGCTAGTTGAGATTTTTTATCGGATAAAATACAAAAATCCATATTTTTATTAATTTTTAAAATTTTGAGCATCGATAATTTCCACAATTTCAAACTATGTGCTACTATCTAAAATTAAATATATTTTTAAATAAACTGATAGCTTATTTATTGCAATCGCATAAACATTTTCGAAGTTAGGCGACTTTTCTAAAATACGGCCTTGAATTTGTTTGTGTGTGTAAATACAATCGTACTTTAGCAAAAAAGTGGGGTTGCAAAAACTTTAAGGAAAATGGGGGTGGCACCGCCCACTTATATGATATACGCGTATCTCAAAAACTACTTGACCGATCTCTACCAAATTTGGTATACGCATAGGTAGAGCTATAAACTGCCATGCAGAAGGATCGAGGACATGTCGGCGTGGACTTTTTATCAATTTATATTTTTAGCATTTAATTAGACCATCTTATATGAAAGAAAAGATTTCTTTTTGGGTTTATTAAAAAGATTTGCCCTCTGAAAGCAAGAGGAATATCTTCTTCTTCAATAAACCGTCGAGCTATCTTTATTAGTGTTGTTCCATTTTATTAGGTGCTTTTTTCTCTGGGTAGCAATGGCCTATTCAGACCAAAGTCGTTGGTAGGATAAAATTTTGAAAGGACATTTTCCATACCGACCCCAAATATGCACCAAAAAATTTAATCTGCTTTAATTCTAGAGAATTTCCTCTTTAATTTGATACCATACTGCTTTTCTATATTGCATAATCATACTTTTCAAATTTCTAAGTCCTTTAAAAATAAACAGGCAGTTTTAATATATTTGGCCCCTGGTTTCGCGAGTATATTGACTTTGTGTGTGTGTGTGTAAAGTTGACTGTCGCACGTTGTTATTCATAAATCAAGAGGTAAGTAAACAAGCAAATACAGAACAAAAAAAAAAAACTTATCTAGTAAAAACTCGTTTCATAATTTTTTGTTGTTTATTTATTTTTCGCTAGCAAATAACGTACAATATACAAAATTACAATAATAATAATCACCATCTGCATCATTATCATCATAGTAATCATAATCATTATCCTCAATCAACGGACACATCTATCTAAGCATCCTCAATTCCAGAATCATTAACGTAACAATAAAAATTATTTATTATATAAATAGTATGTGTGCGCGTGTCTTTTTTGTTTTGTTGTAACATACTTTTACATTTAGACAAACTCTAGTCGTGCTGCAGAAGATGCCTCTTTAATTATTTTACATAAGGTTACACATTTTTGCTGATATAAGGATCATTATAATAATAATTGTAATAATATTAACAAGTAAATGTACGTATGTATGTTTGCATGTATGTATGTATAAGTGTGTGTTATGGGGTAGGGGGAAAATAGATACTATCACTTTACTCAAAAACAATATAATTATAGTTTTTAACTCAACCTTATCATCATCATAATTATCATCATTAACACTTGCATTATCATAATTAACGACTTCGCTTTCGGCTTTTAAAAAAATATGTAGTATAGTAATAAGATTTCAGTAGATTATACACATATAATATTTATTTATATTTATAATAAAAAAAAAAATCATAATAATAAATAAAATAATACATAGCATGCAAAATTTATATTTTCAATATTTAGTTACAAATACATATACATATTCGGTCATATAATAAGTTGAACATAACGAAAGGCGAAAAATTACTTTTTTTTTGTGAATTTTAAACTTGCTACAAAAGTGCAATTACATAAACAAAATTTACTGACAAACAGGAAACTAAACAGAACGGAATTGAACGGAAGTACGAATTTTGTTGTTATTGTGTGTGTATGTGTATGTGTATCACTATGTAGACCATATTATTTCGAAGCAGCTATATGTACATATGTACTTAGTAATTCAATACTTATGTATACAAATATTCGATGCAAAAAAATATTACAGTTTTATGAAACATTTTCTCTTTACTTAATAGCTTTGACATTGAAAATTCTAATTCATCTACCAAAATAAACTTCTTCGCTGTCAGGCCATTGTCGCCTATCGCTTGCGTTGTAGAGATTCACAGCTGTGAAGATGCGCGGAGTCCATCTGCTCAAAACTTACTTTCGCAATGGATCCAAACTTTCCAACGTAAAGTCATCGACGCTTAACATCTTACTCTGGAAGGATGTGAAAATAGATACGTTTTAATGATTGTTATTTATGGGTGAAAAAAAGCAATAATTATGTATATTGTTAGTATTTCTTTAAAGAATTAAGTAAAATATATGTTTCCATAATGCATCCATACCGTGTGAAAACCTGGAAACGTAAATTGCTAAGGAATTTAAATGCAAGTTGGTATTCTTTTCGAAAATAAATTTGAACTAATTCCTATGGAACTGCAGTGCACGGAGTTCGAATAAATTAATGTTGGTAAATTTTTTATACACAAAATAGTAGAAGTCGGTAGATTTTTTAAAAGAAACAATATCAGATAGTTTTTACTCAAATAGGATGAAACATGGCGAATTCATAGAAGGTGGTGTTACAAGAGCGGCTAAGTTTTCACCTCCGTGGTTCTTAATGTCAAAATGATGTATTTGCTGTAATTACTACTCGCATTGTACGTAAGATTTTTTAGTGTAATTTTTGTTTTTATACTTCTGCTATCACCTGATAAGAATTCACCTTGAAATAAATTGTATTTTTGTATAAAACAACAAAAATGTATTTCACGTGAATAATATATTCAACAAAAAAGCTAAACTGGGCCCGAATCATGGCATCCGTTATCGAATGAAACTCGATTCCAATCGATTGAAATGAAAGGATAGCTGTTTTTTCTCCTATTCAATTTGAATTGAAAAATCGAACTCACTACGTAGTGTTCAAAAAGAAATGTCTAATAAAATTTGGTTCGATCACGGATACCCTGTTTCTGAAATAAGTTAACTTTTTATTTTTATTTAAGGTGTATTCGATGACAAAATATATGTATATGTTCATTTGAATCTTTTTGCTTTCTTTCGGCAAAATATTGGTAGATTTTTAGACTTTGTTGGTAAAAATGGTAGAAAGTGTAATATAGGTGAAAAGTTGGTTGATCTACCAATAAAGTGGTAAAGTCCGTGCACTTTATGGAACACACGCCGACGAAGTATTGGCCGATACTAAAACGCAAGACCAGGGTGCGTAATCGGTTAGGATGCGAATTTAGAGGATTGAACTATCCCAAGGAGGAGGAAACGTCTCGACTTTAGTTACTATAGACACAGACCAGATTCTTGACCTCACAATGGGTTGTTCTGTTCAGGCATCTGCTTTTTTGGGCTTTCACCGATCACTGCATATCGGATAAAAACGCATTCAGTTCCTTATGAACGTCCTTTTAGCACATCTTTCGGAAACTGGAATTTCTACTGCAGGAATTTGTGCTCAGTCCTGAAAAGAACTTGACTCTCTCCGATAGTTACGAGGAGCTCAAAATGCGCATATCAAGGGTAGATCGTGAAGTCGATACAGTAAGTTTTCAGGCATAAGCGCTTCACTTCTTTTCTGAAGAAATTGTTATTGTTGTTGTATTTAACGTAAGCTCTGCACAATACCTGTCGCATGTGAGCAAGGCAATACCACTGTCCAGCGTATGGCAAACAGTGGCACGCCACAAGATAGTGTTCTCTCATCCCTTATTTGGATTGTGATCGGAAACGACCTGCTAGGGGATTTAGGCAACAGAGGCTGCCGGGTGAACGCCCATGCGTATGATATATGTCTTTTAGTGAGGGGTAAATTTGTATGCACTCTCTATAATCAGATACAAGGTGCCCTCATTGGAACCAGTGGGGGCTCATAGGACCCTTCTCAATCTCGCACTTAACGTCAAGCTCAACATAGTGACTGTGTCAACGTCATAGGCAAAGCTGCTGCAGCAAGGGTCAAGGCTAGACCTAGTAGCAGTGGATGCTTACCATCCTCAGGATTTGAACACTCTAGTATCCTTGGAGGCTTCGATAAGGTCACTCAAAACACAGGTTACAGCGTCACCAAACTCGCAGTAATTATCTTAAATAAAAAAACAATCACAGAAAATGTTGAAATTCCTTAGGATTCTCGGGGAATCGGCTTTGATCAAGTTGGGATCCCTGGTCTGATTGATTCCTAATCAGACTTAACTATGTATATGGGTGCCATATAGTATATAAGTCGCTATACGAAAACATGAGCATGTGTAACTAAGGATAATTTTCATAGTGGAGAGTTACTTAACTCACATACGGCAAATAGCTTTTGATTTTCCGCAAAAGCATTGCAAAAAGAGTTCTTTTTGGGCTCACAAAACTGCAACTGCCAATTTTGATGGGTGTATTTATAGGCCACCGTCGGAATTGTATTAACGTGTTGAGAGTAAATATTACGTCATCACTCTGTCCCAGCTGCTAAGAGGACAACGTGGTGGAATCATCCTAAAACTTTCACTTAAGCTGCCCAACTTTACTCAGGAATATAGCTCGACAATTCCCAATACATGCGACCCATGAACGTACGTACCATCGCAGTCTGGCTAAGACTGAACAGGCGCAGAGAAAATGCTATGTATTATTCTTTTCTTCAAAACAAGACCTACCTATATAGTAATTAGTCCTATTAGGGATCGTAGCCCATTTCTTCTCCGTGTGGGAAGGAGTTTCGCTAACAACTTGTCTGGCCTTTTAAGCCTAATCATGTATGTATATACATAGGTAGTATTTATATGGAGTAGCCCTCAAGTTATGCTCCCAATGAGCAATTCATGATAATAAAGTATTAATAGAATTCGCAACTATTCTAAACTGCAAAGACAAGTAGAAAGATTTTTTTTTTGCATTGCTTTGCTTGCAAAAACTCTGTAAAAAACGTTCTAAACAACTTTCGCCTTTCGTAACTATCAAAATATTTACAACGATTTCAACTAATTGGAATTATATTGCTGAAACATTGATCCCTGGGCGTTGCTGCTGTTTAATAAAGATCGTTCGCTTAGCCATAAAAAATTACTTAAAACACAATCAATTAAGTAAGGAATAGTATACGTAAATAAACAATAAAATGAAGCTGCGACAAAAGCTTTAACAGCAGCAGCAGCATCATCACATCACATCATCATTAGCGCTCACCTTGAAAATACTGGCCCCATTATTTATTTCGAATGGATCTGAGCCGAATAAATCCGTATTGCCGTTGGTCATGGCTATGATATTGTTGTTGTTGTTGTTCGTGACCGATGTACTGCGCCTAGGTGCGGCTACTTTAGGTGGAGGTGCCACTATTGATTTAAACAAGTTAAAGTACGAAAAGAGAATAGAAAAGAAAACAAAAACGTTAAAAAAAAACAAGTCAGAAACAAATTTAAACATACATACATATGTACATATTTAATACGAGTAAATAAACAATGTACAATAGGGTGGTCGTAAAATTCAAGTGAAAAGTCCGAATTCTAATTCTCTCATACCCTAGGATTGCTTTATATAGACAAAAATGTACCCCTGTTTTTTATATCGAAATTAAAAAATATGTATCTGTCGCTGAACACGCTCAAAGCTTTCTATGTATATTAAATGAAAAAAAATTTTTTTTGTACAAATGCTATAGAATTCTTGATATATATATATTTCGATCGTAAAACTCTGTTTCTCTTCGAAAGACTTCCAATCATAATATCCTATATTTAAAAAAAAGGGGGATATATATTTTTTGGTATGGAAGTATGGAACAACAGTCCTAGGGGTGAGAGCATTAATATTCCGACTTTACTTTTTTTTGGACCACCCTAATATACGAGCCTTAGTATGCACATTAGACCGTATCACTTTTCAAGTTACCAAAAAAGGTCGCCGTACAGCCCTCTGTATAAAGAATTTTTGGAAGATAATTTCGATATTTTTGGGCCGAACCTAGGGCTCGACTTTTTTAATTTTTTGCTTACACCTGCGAACATTCGGCAATAAACAATTTTTTAAATAGTTCTGGAATAATCTAAAAGTTTCTACAGCAAAATTTTACAGATGTTTGGTGAGTTTAAATTTACTGACATTAGGGCGGTAGGGACTGAGAAATGGTGGGTAGATACTATAACGCCGTACTTGATGTAAATGAACTTTGAAACAAAAAAAAAATGTCTCCTCGAGACAAGAACATCGATATATTACTCTTTAAGATTAGACATTAAAAAATGTTAAAAGGCGATCCCTACGTTAAGCCAAACATTCTTTTTTCGAAATTGCTTTGCAAAAATGCTCTAAACTGGGGCCCTATGGCGACATTTGTTTTTCTCTGGTACAGTCTAATGTTTATACGTATGTATCAAAGCAAACAACTTTATTGGCCATTTTAAGAATACAGTCAGTGATTGTGCGAATTTTATTTTTGCTTAATTGTTAATCAAATTTAAATGCACCAAAATGGTTGGGAAAATGTTTAGACATTATTCTATTTTATGCAGCTAATTGTTTACTTACATAATGGCGGCGTCAGATTTAAATCATTTGTAAAATTATTGTTGCCTAAACTGTTGCCATTGTTACTGACGCTGCTCAGATTCAAACTGATGCCATTATGATTGTTGTTAAGCGACTTATTGTCATTGTTATTGTTAACACTATTCGTGTTCTGGTTGGTGAACAATTGTTGGCCATACGATTTGGCTGGCTCAAAGCCGAACAGATCGTTACTGATATTTTTGCCGCCCCCACCGCCGCTGCTGTTGCTGCTGCCCCCATCGACGCACTCATCGGCGCGCGGATCAAAATCACTATCCGAATCGGAGTTGAGTAGCAATTCTTCCATTTTTTGGCTATTCGATTTGTGTATAATTTGGCTTGGTATATTGTTGCGTGGCGGCACAATTGGCACAAAGGATGTCGTTGATCCCGATGACGATTTCATCGAATGCGTCGAACTGGTGTCGATTAGCAGTTTATCCTCAAGCACTGTGTTGGGGAGAGGGGGGGGGGGGGGAAAGAAGACAAATTAGTTTTTCGTTTAACTATCTAAATAATGGATTGGTTTCACTCACAGTTCGCTTTGGTGGCGTTGCCGTTGGTTAACGCGCCATTTTCAGCAGCGGGCAAATCCAGTATGTCCTTAATGCCCATTTTGAATAGCATCGAATCCAACTCGGATTTTGGCAGTTTTAGTGACAGCTCGCGCAGTCGACTCTTGTAGATGGCGAGCGCTTTTTCCAATTCCGCATTCTGTTGCTGTGCTTTGCCAAGATCTGTCTTCTCAACATTGTTCATGTATTTTCTGTAAAAGTTAATAAATTGGGGTTAAAGAATATGCTTTGAATTGCTTTGAATTTTTAATTGCTGTGATTTTTTTCTTTGAATTATTTACAAGGTAGCTGTGGAAAAACTTAGTGGTCAGGGAGAAACCTGAAAAGATACAGGCTATCGCTTTTGTGACTAAACTAAGTGAGGCCATTTCGAGGCGACGAGAGTAATGACTGGGTTCAATGTGGCCTAGGCACATACATTTTCAAACTCCAAAGGTCTTCCCAACTTTTTGGAGATTTTCGGACTAGAAGAAGTGTTGTGAAGAGTAGAGTGCACAGTATAGATATTCGTTAGATCGCCGTTAATATCTCTTGTTTTTCATTTATCCATCTCTCTGGTAGTGATCTCTAGAGATGAAATAATAAATGCCCTCCCGCCATCACTTCATTTGCATTTTTTTTGTCTGTCTTATTGTTTCTGTATTTCGCTATTTCGTCTAGATATTGTTACATCTGTATTATGTCTTTTCGGGATTTTTAAAGTTGGGATAATGGAGTGCTCTCCTCACTCGATGGAGCTTTATTTTCCAATGCAGCCAACTAAGACATTGCAAAGTGTTTCACGTGAACTCCATGGCCCACCTTGCTAGATACGATGGTCGAGAGTTACACGATTGATCAGCACGTCTAAAGGCCGTTTTCTGAAGTAACCTTTAAGTTTAAAGTTACAGATTACTTGAGAAAACGGCCCTAAGTTATAAAAATTTATTTTAAAATTTGGTTTTCGTTAGAGGAAAGGTTGCTGCACTTCGAATTCGAGTCTCCGACGTATGATGCCAAATCCTAAACGACTGGTTAGGTAAACAATCAGTCAAACAAACTCCAGATTCCCCTGTTCAACCGCTCAACGGGGCAACGGTGAGCTCGAACAATCATTGAGAACCGGCTTATTTTGACCCAAATTGAATGACATGGACATGAACGAGATGTGGTTCCTGCACAGCGATGAACATTCTACATGAATCACTTGAAGGTTTGGTTATCTCTTGCAGGTATCTATGGACCCGGCACCCAACTCGAAATTTCCATGGGCAGACGTCCTACAAAGTTGCAGGCTGAAGTTTTAGCGATGCCAAATTAAACCTTGAAAAGAGTCTGCTGGGTGCCTTTCTAGTGTAATTTTTAGATAGCCAAGCCGCTAACAAGGGCCCTCTCAAAGAGGATTATGAAATCCAAACTTCTTAAAGACTGCTTTAACACGCTTAAATTCTTGAAGCAAAATATACCGTAACATTGTGTTGGGTACCAGGCCAGTTTGTCATCGAATGCAATGAGGTCGCAGACGAGTTGGCGCGAGAAGGATCCTTAACTACCTTTTTAAAACCGGAACCATTTTGTGGTCTCAGTTGGTCCCTTTCGAAAACCATAACTACTGGGTGGGTACACTCGAACGTAGGAAGTACTGGAAGGCGGTGGAGCGGCTTGGCTAGATAATGATTAATTCAATTTAAAGCCCCAACGGTCAAATACTTTGTAATACAAAATTCAACAACCGAGGTCCTTTTGAAATCATCAAGAAAGCCGGAGGTATCTTGGGCATACTGGGTTAGAAAAACAAAAGGCCTTTAAAATCTGACTAACTCAATACATACTTAAAACACTCGTATCTATGGTCATATTTCGCTATTTATTTCAAACTTACTTGTATGCCAAATCGAACGCTTGCCCAATGGTCAACGTTATATCCGACGCCAACTTATTCGATATGAACACGAAACATTCATGTGTCTCCTCTGTATTACTGCCACCGGTGCTGTTGTTACCATTGGAACTACTTACACCATTGGTGAAGCTATTGCCCGTTGTGGTGCCGTTAATACCGCCATCCAGTGGCTTAACTGTTTTCGCAATAAAACTAAAGAATTTCTTTACACCCTTCTCGTCGGCACAATACGAAATGTTGTGCAGCGGGAATTGATGTAGGATTTTCTGTGTGCGCGGCTCCTGTACAGCAACACCATCCACACTGATGGTAATTTCGACTTTTTTACATTTTTCCTGAGTACCTGTTTCGGCTTTCTTCATCTCCTGTGCAAATTGCAGCTTGCGTATGGCATCTTTGACCACTTCAATGCCTTTGGCCTGCTCCACTGGCAAATTACCAAAGAACTGAAATTTGAAAATGATTAGGAATAGATTATTCGAAAATCGATGAATACAAGTTCTGTGAAAAAAATTGGGAATAAGAAATGTTATTAAATTTCTATACGTTATAGCCAAACATAATATCCAATTATTGCCTGTCCTATATATAAAGATGTGTATTTTTTGTAAGGAACCTTATTCCCGTCTTTTTGGAGGGTGGTGACAGGTTATAATTAGTTTACATATACTTAGTATATACGGTCGGAATTTCAGTCATTTCTTCCTCAATCAATGAAATGCCAGCTGAGAGGCTTAAGCTTTTAATTAACCTTCAAAGGAGAATTTAAGGATTGGTGCACAAACTAGTTATATGGTCAAATAATTCCTGTAGCTTTTGTGTCTCTGATATACGGACATCTACTTCTAATGTGCGGCACCTTGACTGGACAATTTGTGTTTTTTTTTTTAGATCTCGGATCGGAAGACTTAAGTTGCTCTGTTCTAGACGCCTACAATAGTTGAGTAGCTCGCCTAAAGGGCTAAACGTATTGAAATCACTTTGGAACGTTTTTTGAAAACGGCCTATCTATACGTTAAGAACGAGGGACACGTCCAGCACACTACCGTGGTACACATACGGCTCTAAGATCTCTAGATCCTTGAGGATATTGGAGCAGCCATATTAGGCCTTAAACCAAAGCTAGTAGCTAGTCTATGTGCAGAGAGTTTGTTTGCTCTTACTCTACCTTGGATAATGATACGTTGACTCCCTCGGAGGAAGTCCGATATTTGGGCGCCATTTTCAACAAAAAAGCTAACCTATAGATGAGCTATCAAAGAAGGCTATAACTTTCTCATACGCCGGCCAATCATCTGTGTGGGAAAAATTTGGCTTCAAGCCTCGAACTCTATTGCCGATGAAACGACATTAGAGTTTATGGTGGGAAGTGGGGTAACTATACTCGCAAGAGCTCTCACTCTAACTCAGTTTATGGTTGCCAGATTACTGCAGCGTTTTTCAAACTGAACTAACAGCTGCAAAAAGGCGGATCTATTCTTTAGGCGGCCATTAAAACACTTGATTCTGATAACGGAACTAAATACAGCACCGCTGATTTTGTGACATCCGTCAGAAAAACGGATTAGTTTCACTTCAAAGGAAAAACAAAATGTAAAGAGGCTCTATTATGGCATATGTAAGACTACTAGAGCGTAAGAAAAGAGCCAACTTATTGGAACACTGGTACACTTTTTTTTGTTATCATGGCGGAAGAAGACTAGCTGTTGGTCATTACTGTGGCAAGGTTTAGTTAGGTCGTTTGAATAAGTAAGATCTACCCCCAAATCAGACTGGCATGTCTACAAATCGAAATTTTAGGGAATTCCACGGCTGGTAAATTCAGAATTAGATTGCATGTATTTAACTAAGGGAACTTACCTTGACTAGATAGACGACGTGGCCATTCACCAGCGCATCGGGCGTATGCAACCAATTTCGCTTATCCTTTTTCGCATCCTCGGTTGTGCCATTGTTATTGCTTTTATCATTATTATTTGATTGATTTTTTATGTTATTATTATTGTTCTGTTTATTCCAAAACATTAACTGTGACATATTGCTGAGTGGTGCGCGACTATTGTTGCTGAGGAGTTGGTGTGTCGGCTCTGCAACGTTTTTGCGCTTGAGCGGACTGAATTTCTGCGCCGTTTTGAATGAAATTATACGACCACTGCACCAAAGGAAAATTCTAAGAAATCAAATATCAGCAGCTTATCGGTTGCTGTTTGGTTTAACTGTAAAGAGCAGAAAAACAAACAAACAATAAAATTTATTAAAAGCAAATCAATTGTAAATAAATAAAATAAGTGCAAGTATTCGAAATATGCAAACGAATTAGCATACAATTAAGATAAATTAAAAAGAAAAGACTAAAAATTAAAATATTGACGATATTCTGCTGCATCTAGCAGCCTATTGAACTCGGCGCATGTGCATAACTAAGTACATATAATACATATACATATATGTATGTATATGTATATTCAGTGTCAATCGTTGTTGAAGCATTGTCATGACCAGCGATAAGTGAGGTGATTCCTATGATCCGTGCGATTAGTAAAACGTGTCGACAACGTAGTTTACGCCAGCAACACCTGAATAGCCAATTAATTTTTGTTGCTCCTACATATGTACATATGTAAGTAAATTCCTATTTTATTTGTTTTGCTTGTAATAAGCGCTTTGGAAGGCATTTTGTTTTCTTCGTGCCTTTGAAATTGGAAAATCCGCTGACTAGCAAAACACCCGAACGTATGGAGGAGATCCGTTTACAAAACTAGGCACGTCCATAAGTACTAGTTACTGGCAATCAATAGTCGCCATCTTATAACTCATCCACAAACGAAGTGAGAAGTGATGGAGTGTTGTTATTCGTTCGTTGTTTGAACACAGCAAAACGCAGCTCATCTCAGCGCAGCACAGCCGTGCATACCATAATACAAGCCAACTAATTAACTCGCGAACCAGACGAATTGCTGAAATTCTAAGCTTGAATGCTTAAGCAATATGCAGCCTTTGCATCGTCATTCTAATTGCGGCTTCAATTCTCAAACGAAAATATGCAAGTGCATAAAATTTGCACGTACTTCTATATATGTACACATTAGGGTGCATCACTCTCCATTCAAAAAAAAAAAGTCCGTATTGTTTTTCCAGCGGAACTATGAAATGCATGATCATGCATGAGAAACACTTTTAGTATTTTTGACGTTTTCAAGCATTTTAATTTTAAAATTTACTCGCAAACTCACATACACAGTCTCATTTCTAATAAAAAAAAAATTAAACAATTTAATTTTCAGTTTTATAACATTTTAAAATGCTGGCAAACTTCAAAAAAATTAAGGCCGACGAATTGAGAGAACGGTTCCTCCTTACTATGTTTTTATCATAATGAAATGCGTTATATTTTGATAATTCGGCCAAATTTTTTCGCAAAAGTATTAAGATTTACGTGAACTGGATGCTTTTGAAAATAACTCCAAAAATCGTGTGTTTATAAATAAAAATAGATTTTAAAAATTATTTTTTTAAAAAATCACCTCAGACGTTATAAGAGTTTTAAGCTTAAAAGGTCTGCATAAAAATGTTTAAAAATTGTATCAACGGAATCAAAACAACGCGATTTTTGGAGGTATTTCCAAAACCGGTCTAGCTCATGTGAATCTTAATATTTTTCCGAAATATTTTTGGCGGAGGTCTTATATATCAAATATATTAAATTTATAATTCCGGTGGAAAATACCCCCATTTTCTTGTGTTGTGTTGTGAAGTCAATACTGCTTTGTGCAGCTCCGGTTTGGGCCCAAAGCAAAAAAGAGGCATCTACGACCAGTCTAACTGAAATCATAAGCATATTGTGGTTCTGGAAAACCACGCAACTGACATTTGTGAAAATGAGATTTGCACGCCGGAAGCTTCTGGCATCAAAGCTTATCCATTCGTAAAAATGTCGATTTATAAAACTAGCCCGAAATCAGATTGCTTTATAAAAGAGAGCATTATTTTGAAATAAGACAGTTTCTAGTAGTGTTGGACAGTATCGATAATAAAAGTACTTAGAACTCGATTCTGAAAAGGAACGACGGCACCCGATTTTTAAAAGTATCGATACTGAGTTCTCTATAGTACTCATTACTCACAAAAGAACTCGAAACTACTCAGAACTTAAAAGAGAACTCGAAAGTTCTTAGTACTCATAAAAGAATTCGAAAGTATTCGAAAATACTCTGTTCCAATCAGCATTTTTATCCATGCACTCAGGATCGTTTCAAAGTACTCAGTATTAAATGTCGAATAGATACTTAAAAGTACTGAGTTTTATTTATATTTACCGGTATTCAGAAATGATTGTACTCAATTTGAAGTTCAAACAGTTTTCAAGTAGTACAGTACTTATACCCAGTAAAGTTAGCAATTCATTCGACGTAATTCAAAAGTTCTCGATGCTTTCCAACACTAGTTTTTAGTATCTACTGTAAAATTTGGGCAACCTCACATACGAGGTTTTGCATTATCTTGATACGTAAATAGATACCTAAATACTCATGTACATACATATGTATATAGACAAGTCTGTAAGCCTCATACATAGTTCCATATGCACATAAAACTCAATAATCCCAGAAAGCATCCGACGACAAGTCCCCATCAGCCAGCCAGAGATTGGAGTGACGTGCGGCGATCACTTGTCACGATTAGCGTTCGAGCGTATTTTGCGCATTTGACGCTCCCATTTGCGTATTAGAATCTACTTTTATTTGTTGTTTTTTTCGCATCTTATTCGATTAATTTCTGATTTCAAAACTGGTATGTATGTATAATAAGTAGCCATAATAGAAAATAATAAAAAACAAAAAACAAAAACAAAACATGATCACACATTAAGAAGGCATTCACCGCCGTCGTAGCCGTCGATTGACACCCAAATAACTTGATCTGATTTCTAACTACGTAGTAGATTGTTGATTATTTTCAGTAAATTTTTGTAATGCGTTCTTTGTTTAGAAAAATAAAATAAAAGCAATGGGAAATAGTTGCTAAATAAAAAAGGAATTTGCGCGAGCACCAAAAATGACAATGCCTTTACAAAAAAAAAAAAACAAAACAAGAAAACAAAACAAAATGCACAGCTGTAAGCTTACGTTAATGCTTACGTTTGTTGCATCATGCAATTACGATGAAGTAATCAAAGATCACAAATTGTGCTCAAAAGATTTCATAGCTAAATTTGAGATAATTAAAGGATAACTGATTCAAAAGTGGTCTGATGTGAAAAGCCTCTAAATATTACAAGCAGCAAAAAGATTACAAAATATCTAATTTGTATCGTTATTCTCTTAAATCATACGAAAACGATAAAATTAATTTAAAACCAAGATTTTCCAAAAAAAAAAAATTAGTCAAATGAATAATTTAAAGGTTTGAAAAAATTAAGAGTAATGGATACCCCTTTGCCCAGACTACTCCTTTTGGGATTTTTATACCCGAGCGCAATTGTGCACCGGCTATTATAACTTTGTTTGTATAACGGGTGTATAGATATAAATATATGTATGTATACTCGTATACATAGCAAAATGCTCCGAATTAATAGAGAGACGATTGAGCCATGTCCGTCTATCTGTCCGTGAAGGTTGCCATTTATGCAAAGTAGGTTGGTATTGAAAATGGACGGTACCCGCGCCCCTCCTCCCATAAATCCATATTTTCGAAAAATGCAAAAACTACGATATGTATCTCCAAATTGTTGAAAGTTGGAATAGAATTTTTGCACAAAATGAGACAAATATAAAATTTGCGGAAAATGGGCGTTGCACCGCCTACTTATGAAGAATTGCTGTAACACAGTAACCGCTTCTCCAACCTCCACCAAACTCGGTACAAACATTGCTTAGAGTGCGAGTAAGAAACATATTGAAAATTTTTGAAATCAGTCAATAACTACGCCCACCTCCCATATAACAGTAATTTACAGATATGCTACGAAAGCTGTGAATACAATGAACATTTTTGAAATCGTATTAAAATTACGCCCACATAAGGGTAAATTTCAGAAATACGAAAACTCCGATATTTCAGTAATTAAGCATGCAAATTTACTTAATGCTAATTGCTTAGCAAAAGTGATAAGAAATTAAATATGGTGGTTAAGTACTAGAACGGGGTATTTGAGGCCATTGAACATCTCAACAAGAAAAATTGTCTCCCCGAGGCAAGAACATCGATTTATCATACTTTAGGACTCTACTGTAAATGCCGAAGCTATGACGAAAAATTACAAAAGACGACCCCCACGTTCGGAAGAAGTTTCCTTCGAATCGATATACGTACATATGTACTTCCTTAGCAAAAGTTTAATGATTTTTGACGAGCATTGAATTAAAAGTTGCTGTGTAAAAATTCTTGGGAGACTCGTGTGTAAAAAAAAAGTTTTTTAGTACGGTCATTTAGTCATTTAAAAAGATCGTGCAACATTTTAGTTTTTAACACCAGTTATTGTTTATATTCACTGACTCATGAAATGTTCAGTAAGTTTGCTGCAAGCGACTAACTAAATATTATCCGCCAGCTTAAGTAGACTCCATAAAATAATATTTATACCAGAATTGCTTATCTATTCTATGTACATATATTAACTGTTATATAAAAAACAAATTAAATCTTGTTCATGATAAAATGGAGAAGCCATTGTTTACACTCATATATCACTAAATAATCTTCCAGCGGAAAATAATACTCCCTGCTTGCCTATTGCCAATCCACTGGTATTACTTCCGGTACACACATATGTACATTAGGGTGGCCCAAATTGTCTTCCTCCAGCCGTCAGCCCAGATCTGAAGAGTATCAAAAATAAGGCCACACGTATTTTTTTGTTTTGAAATCGATTAACATTTACCCGTGCCGCTGGAGCTTTGAAGTTTTCCATGTATTTTACATAGGGAAAATAAATTTTTTTGTAAGATTGCTATAAAATCGTTAAAAATTAATATTTATTGATTGAATAAGACTATTTTCTAAAAATTTTACTGAGTGCGTTTTAATAAGCGATAATCATATCTGTTGTATACAAAAATTTGTTATTTTAAGTTTTCATAACCACGTCACGCACGAACACATCATCGACGTTTTCTGCAGGTTTGTGGTATAAAATTTTTAAAAATTGGGTTGCCAGATATTTGAATATTTAAAATTATTTAAAAGGCAATAAAAAAATTAAGTTTCTTCTCCA